ACAATCAACGACTCTGGTGGGACTCGAACCCACAACCTTTGAATACCTTCTGGGTGTTACTAGAAGTCCAATGCGCTGTCCATTGCGCTACAGAGCCACATGCTTGTCAGCAAAGTCCATCAATTATACCTGCTATACCAATAGACAGTATGTGTAAAATATATTTTTTTAAATTCTTAAAAATCCATTAGTAATGGTACTTATTTCTCAACAACTAGTCCAATGTTATGTCCCTCACACAATAAGACCCTTCAACCAACAAACTAAGAGTTGCTTAATGTCCCTGAAGCACTATTAAGTGAGAGACAGCAATATCCATACAATCAACGACTCTGGTGGGACTCGAACCCACAACCTTTGAATACCTTCTGGGTGTTACTAGAAGTCCAATGCGCTGTCCATTGCGCTACAGAGCCACATGCTTGTCAGCAAAGTCCATCAATTATACCTGCTATACCAATAGACAGTATGTGTAAAATATATTTTTTTAAATTCTTAAAAATACATTAGTAATGATACTTATTTCTTAACAACTAGTTCGATGTTATGTCCCTCACACAACAAGACCCTTCAACCAACAAAGAGTTGCTGATCGTCCCTGAAGCACTGTGTAGTGAGACTAAGAAATGTACGAACAATCAACGACTCTGGTGGGACTCGAACCCACAACCTTTGAATACCTTCTGGGTGTTACTAAAAGTCCAATGCGCTGACCATTGCGCTACAGTGCCACATTCTTGAAAGCAAATTCCATCAGTTAAACTTGCTACTCTAATAGAGGGTATGTGTAAATGATATTTTTAATTCTTAAAATACCTAAGTAATGGTACTTATTTCTCAAGAACTAGTCCAATGTTATCTCCCTCACACAACAAGCCCCTTCAACCAATAAACTAAGAGTTGCTGAARGTCCCTGAAGCACTGTGAAGTYAGACTCAGAAATGTACAAACAATCAACGACTCTGGTGGGACTCGAACCCACAACCTTTGAATACCTTCGGGATGTCACTAGAAGTCCATTGCGCTACAGAGCCACATAATAAGAAACACGTCTCTCAAATTCACTTGCTACACCTCAGGAAAGTATGTTRAAGTTGTGAAAGTTTTTAAATTCTGAAATAAGCTAAGGAAGTGTACTTAATTGACAAGAACTGCCCAATGGTTTTTCCATCACACAACAAAGCCCTTCAACCAATAAACTTTAAGTTATTAAAGTCACTTCAAAGTCACTTGCTCCATCTTATTACAATCTTTTTAAAGCGTGAAAATTTTTAATCTCTGAAATAAGCCAACGAAGTGTACTAAATTCTCAACAACTATCCAATGTTTTTTCCATCACACAACAAAACCCTAAAATACTTATGGCGTGCCTGTAAAAACCCATGACTCTGGTGGGATTTTAACCCTAGCTAAGGACATGTACTTTGTTCTCTAGCAGTTGTTTGCTGGACCCGTCAAACACAAAGCCCTTCAGCTTTAGAACCTACAAATGTAAAAAAGTCAAAGTTTCTTGGAGATGCTATTACAACCTACTTATTCTTTCTATAAYGGTCCTATGTACTACTGTCCATCATAACACAAAAGACTGTAGCTTTGGAACTCAGAAGTGTGAAAATTCTAGGAAACCATGACTCTGATGGCACTTCTTTCATTAACATAATCCGACACATTCTCCATGGCACCACAGAGCTTTGCACACATCTTCATGTGAGTGATAATTTAAGTGTGTTTGTTATTGTTCAGAGTCGGTCTCGGGGTTCCAGGTTGAATATTATCATAGTTGCTGAAGGAGCCAGTGACATTCAAGGACGACACATAACGTCCGATTCTGTGAAAAATGTGAGTAGAGCTTTAGTCTCAGACTGTTGCAGAGGYGAACCAGAAGCTGGAGCAGGTGGTGGAATTCAATCATTCTCATGGGGTCACCCACAAGCTACAGAGGAATCCACTTTCTGTTCTGCTCTAAGATGTTTGCCATATAAAATAATAATAATAATTTAAATAACTCATCTAATGGCATAAAACCAAATTCAGTCTACAGTGTCAACTTCTCCTGAGATAACTCTCCAGCGTCCTATCCAGCTTTTGGCAGTGCAAAACTTTTCTGTCATGTTCTCAAACGCTTCTGCTTCTTATATTTCTCTAGAACCGTGCTGATAAGAAAAGGCTGAACATTATTATTGTAGCCGAGGGTGCCATTGATTGCCACAACAAGGCAATAACCCCAGATTATATCAAGGATGTAAGTATGGTGGAGAATGGTGGGCGTGTCTGGGATGCTCCTTCAGAAGCATGAGTTTTTCTCCTTCTCATGGTGATGATGGATTCCTTCACAGCGGAAACATGCATCAGTTTTTGTTTTACAATTGGTATTTTTTTTATTTTAATTTATGACACTTAATTGTATTTTACTTTTAATCACCCGTGTACTTTTTCATATAATTTCTGTTCTGGCGAGTTCCCCTTGCATGTGCATAATTTGGCATTCAACATGACAGGAGAAGTTTAGCATGATTTCTCCTCTGTTTGTTTTTATCATTTTCAACACATTTTTTGGTTCTTTTCTGGGTTGTTTTAATGTTTTTATTTCGCTATAAAATCTTATAAAGCACAAATAATTTTAATTATTATGTGAAAAATGCATGCATGATCTTTAAATGCATATCCTTCTTATGAGTGAAAACCTTCAACTCTGTAAAATTATTTACATTGCTAAGATAAACACGTGTAACATTGAGGTATTGGTGAAAATGTCAAGCATTTTCATTCTGCTGCTAATTCATGGTGCTTCTGCAAACAGCTGGTAGTGAGCCGCCTGGGTTTTGACACCAGGGTCACTATCTTGGGCCACGTTCAGAGAGGTGGGACCCCATCTGCATTTGATAGGATCTTGGTAAGTCATGCAGTTATAAAAATAAAGTTTTACGATTTGAAATGACAGCATGTTTCCCGAGTCGAACATTTCCTCCTTAAATAACTTTTCAGGCTAGTCGTATGGGTGTGGAGGCAGTGCTGGCGTTACTGGAGGCGTCTACTGACACGCCAGCCTGCGTTGTATCTCTAGTTGGGAACCAGGCTGTTCGGCTGCCWCTGATGGAGTGTGTTCAGATGGTAAGTGTGTGTGCAAGACACAAACGTTACAGCAGCCAGACACACAGACATACAGTAAAGCAGGGTTGTCCAGCTAAACTGCTCCAGGGGCCACAGTTACTGCAGACCAACAAATGAGGGCCAAACATCCAGCACAATAAAGWCATTATGTAAATAAAACAAGTATTACGAAGATCTGRTACCTTTTGAATTAGTTTATTTTGTTTCATTAATCATGATTACAACATATCAAAAACAGACAAAAACTAGAAGCACTCGGAGAGTGCAAACCTCCACTAAGACCAATTTCCCCCATCCTGTAAGAGTTAATGCATAAAAGCAGAGATGGAAACACATTTGCTGAATAAGTTCTGACATAGTGAACATTTAAGCAGCAGTATGCACGGGATTTCTTCTCTGTGGAGTCCAGTGTGAAAAACAAAAATTCAGACTCGTCACCCGACATTATTCATGGTCAAACTGGTGTGGGATTAAGCTCCTTAGTTTTCATCAGTCACATTTCACCATGTAAAACGTCTGTTTTGTCTCCTTGTATGAGTTTGTAATGGTTTGACTCTCTTTATAAAGTGCTTCCTGGCTCCCCCCGTCTCCAAACTTTGAGGCCCGGCAGCTCTCTGTTTACAAGCCTAGTAGAGAGAAACTGTTTTGATTGGTTGTTTGGGAAATGTGGTGTGTTTGAGGAAATGGGGAAAAATAGGTTTCATGGTGCAGTCACGCACTTCCTGGTCACAAAAGCATTCTCTAAATGTGCATATGTGGCAAAAATTATTCATCATTAAATCTGGTTTTAACATTACTTTTATAAAGTTTGAAGTCCGTGCTGTCCAATCCAGCTCACTGTTTTTACAGAAGCCCTGTGAAAGCATCACAGCTTTGCCGATCTCAGAGTGTTAGAAGAAAAAAATTCCTGTATCCGCGTCGTGATCCGGAACATCACCAAAATTTAAAGGTGTGTTCCTTGGCCCAGTATCCACATGTGGTAAAAATGTCATGACAATCTGTCCACAAGTTTTTGAGTAACGTTGTCCACAGACAGAACAACAGAACGACAGACAGACATACGCGACCGAAAACATTACCTCACCTTGGCAAAGGTAAAAACTGCTTGTAGTTTTAAGAGTCTTGGATGTTCATGGAAATGATTTTTACCAGCTTTTAGTCAKGATTCTGACGGTTCTGTAGATACCACACATGTTTATGTCTAACTAAAAAAACGTAATTAAAGTAGAAAACCGGGAGTTTGGGCTCAAAGAGATTAATGAACCAATTGGCAGGCCGGATTTGGGTCACCAGCTGGCCTGATGTGGCCCGCKGGCCGCCTGATGAATAACAATGCACCAAAAAAAGCAAAAGGTGAAACAAAAAGTTTGTTTGCAAAAAGCAGCTCTGTTTTTGTTTTGTCACCAGACCCAGGAGGTGCAGAAGGCCATGGATGAGAAGAAGTTTGAAGAGGCAGTCAGGCTGCGTGGAAGGTATGGTTGATGCAAAAGTTCTGACACGTGCACGRGACCCATCTGCCTGCAAACAAACCACCGTAAAAAGCAATGCACCGAATGCTCAAGCTGTGATAGCAGAGCTGCTGCATGTAGTTTAATCAGAGCAAACAAGTCTTGGTAATAAAACACACTTTATAAACATTATCAAGTGTTCTTATTTTCTACACAATAAAATATATCAAAACCAAATTATATTGAACCAGTCTGAATACACCACACAGTTGTTTGGCAACGTGCTTCAGTTTGTCTGTTTGCATTGATCCGACTGACTCTGAACACTTTTCCCTCAATAAACACATTGGAAATAATTTGCTTTTATCCAAACAGGTTAACTCTGTTTTCAATCTGCAGGAGCTTTGAAAATAATCTGACCACCTACAGACTGCTCGCCTCCCGCAAAGCAGATTCTGAACTCCCAAATGTAAGCACTACTACAAACACACATTATGTAAAAGAAATAAACACTTTTTAAACTCACCTGTCTTTTTGCAGCAGCTGCTCTAAGGTACTTCCTAGTCACTAGACACTAATTTAGTCTCTGTTTTTCTGTGACCGACTTGAGGGGGAGGAAGAGAAGGAGGCAGGGGATGAGGAGCAGTCTAACGTATGTGATGGTTTATCTTCTGGAGCTTCTGCAGGCCTACTTCATATAATTAGAAATAATTAGCTGAGATGTCCTGTTGAGTTGTCTGCTTCTTAAAGTCTGAGATCGAATTTTAAATGATGATAAATATGCCACAGGTTAAATTCATGTTGTTACCATGGTCCCACTCTGTAACACACTACCAGAAAACAACAGTCAGTGCATGTTACCTGTTGCTGAACCTCTGCTTTATTACTGGCTTTTGTGGCTTTAAGGTGCAAACATGAAAAGAGGTGCATTAGTGCCGCAGCGCTGCAGTCAAGGARGGTTGTGATGGATGAGATCTGCTTCACATGAACCTGAAAACGTCTCCTGTATTTAAACCTCCAGTCTGTGATGACAGTTTATGAACATATTGCTCATAACTCGAAGTGGACAGACTCCATGCTCTCTTAAAATTTTATGTAGTCAATGAAATCCCCATTTTTCTGTCAACCTAAAACTTACGTTTTTAACGCTCATAAAAGCTGGATAAAAGTATGGGATGCCAGGCATAAAATGAAACGTTAAAAAAATTCACTAAGAGATTTTTCGTTATTTAACTCACTGTTCTTATATTTAGTTAATTTTTACTAAATGTTAAATTTAAATGTTAAAAATATATTTAATTATTAAATCATAAATCTAAATGTTAAAGTTAAACCATAAATGTTGAAGTTCACATTTAGGTATTTTGTAAAGGAACGCAGCCTTTGCTGTTGGTGCTCAGCTCGTGTTATGATGTCATCATCCTGAGACAATAGCAACCGCTAGCGCTCCAATGCAGCTAAAGGCAGCACGGTGGATCAGAGGTTAGTACTGACGCCTCACAGCAAGAAGGTCCTGGGTTCGATCCCAGGTTCGGACCTGGGGTCTTTCTGTGTGGAGTTTTCATGTTCTCCTCGTGCTTGTGTGGGTTTTCTCCGTGGGTACTCTGGTTTCCCCCCACCCCCAAAAACATGTACAATAAGTTGCCTCCAGGCCTCCCTTGTAAAAGAGATCTGAGATCTCAACGGGACTTGCCTGGTTAAATAGCAGTAAATAAAATAAATAATAAAATAAAGCTTCCCTACAAGACATCAAACTTGCAGTTATGGCTGGTGTCTGCCACCCATATTGTTTTTATGAACATATTTAGATTTTAAACATTATCTGCAGCAGTGTTAGAAGCATTAAGAGAAGTTAGCGTCAGATAACCAGGATGATGTCATCATCCTGCGACAAACATCAACAATGGCTGTTGACCCAATGTGTTCATTCTGCCATTTCTCGGTGGAGACAATCACACTTTTTGGAACTGTTCCTATATTCAACTATTTTGGAAAGATACTTTTTTTATTCATGAATACAAATTTTGATATGGACCTATCA